GCGTATCAGGCATCTTAGAGACGGCCGTTGTCGAGGGCGAAGTGCCGTTGCTGTTGCCGGTTAAGTTGCTGAAGCAGCTGAGGTCGGTGATAAATCTCGACGAGGAGTGCCTGGAACTTCGTTCGATTGGAGCCGTTGTTCCTATGAACCCGCTGCCCTCAGGTCACTACACGATCGAGGTCACGGACTTTGCTGGCAAGGACTGGCACTTGCCAACAGCAGCCGCACAAGCAGGTCGAAGGGAGAGCGAGTTTCGTTGCGAGCCCCGGTTCGAGAGTGCCAATAGTTCCTTTGGGGGTTTTGCAGAGCGTGCCGGCATAGATCATGAACCTGCTTCTCCAGCTGCGGTCCGAACCGTCTTTGTCGCCAGCCAAGCCGGGCCGCGGAAGCGGACACAATCCAAAGAGGGCATTGGCAAATTGGCGAGCGGTGTTCGACAAGCTTATCGACCTCATCGCTCTGTCCACCATGCAGGCACGGATTGGTTCAACGCGTCATTGTTGCCTGCCTGGCTGCCTTCTGCGGTAGCACAAACTGCGTGGGAGCCAGCCACACCGAGGGAGCCGAGCAAACGTACCGCGGCCAGGACAGCAGACTACAAGCAGTGGATTTCCTCGGGTCGGGCAAAGGTGCTGCAGCCTCGGAAGTCCAAAGTGCCATCGGCGGTGAAGATCGAGGACTGCGGCCATGCCGCAGAGTTTCTCCGTGGTGCTGGGAACGGGCACAGCAGAGATGTCTACTGCATCCAGTGCAACGGCAGGTGGGACGCGAACGGCATGGAGGAGTTCATTGCGGAGACGATCCGCACGCAGATAGCCGAGGTGAGGGGACCAACCGCCACGGGCGTCCCAAGGTGCCATTGTGGTGTGGCCGCGGTGAGATTGGTCACCAAGAAGCCCGGGCCGACGCAAGGCCGGCATTTCTGGAAGTGCGCCGCGCGCGTGTGCCAGTTCTTCGATTGGGATCAAGACGAGGTGGCCAAGCTGCAAGGGGAGAAGCGCAAGGAGATGGCGGACCAGGCGCAGTACATCGAGGAGCTCCAGCAACAGTTGCAGCAGAACCAGGCCCAGTACGAGCAGGGGATGCAGGCACAGAGGGCGCAATTCGAGATGGCCTTGGCCCAGTTGCAGCAGCATGCGGCAGGGAACGTGGTGATGGGGAACCCCAACTAGGGGAGCAACGGCCCGACCAGGACGGCGATGGGCCATCCTGTGGGGTGGCTTTGGACAGCCCTCTTTTGCGAAAAAGGTGGAGGGCTTTGCAGCTAGAAGAGAGAGTGAGCCGGGGTCGGGCCCGTGGTGTCGGAAGGCTATTGGTGGAAAGATCCAGCAGCCAGCGGCGTGGGCAGTGAAGGGTGGCATTTTGCCACCGGCATCGTTCCTGAGTTTTCCGAGTGTGCGTGGGTGCGGGGAGTTTTTCATCAAGATTTTCATGGGAACGATGGGACCACCCAGCTGGAGCCAAAGACGCTGTCGAGGCAAAAGAGAAAGAAGATTATTAGGGCGTTCCCAAGGCCGTTGGCATGCGGAGGGAGCTCAGTTGACAGCGATTTTCCTTTGGAGCCAGAGTGGTGTTGGCACGAATTTCGGTGCAGCTCAGCACCGTGTGCAGTTTTTGTGGTGCAGCTTTTGGACCCGGGCGAAACATTCCGGTGGGAGTCTGTGGTCTTGGGCGGCAAAAGGGCGCTCATCTTGTATGTGGGTCCGGCTGGTCGTGAAGTCGGTTGTGATTGGTATCGGTGGCAGTCAGAGTGCGGGGGGGATGTTGCCATGTTGGTGCAGGACAGCTCTGGGAATCACGAGGAGAACGTTATCTACTTTCATGCGAAAGGTGCCCGTGATGCTCTGAGAGATGTGTGGGGAAGTTTGTCCTGTAATTCCTCCTTTCCTCTGTGCGGTGCCGCGATCAGGTGGAACTTTGGCGACGAGAATGCCGAGGCTCTGGGGCACTCTTTTCCGCAAGAAGCTGTTGAAGAAATCGACGGCGAGGCTGAGGAGATCGAGCCCGAGGAGGGCACCGCAGAGGCTCCTGACCTGGCGTTGGCCGGGGAACTCACAGCACATCAGAAAGCCATGGTGAAGCGCATGCACGATAACATGGGACATCCTGACAAACTTACCTTCCTGAGGACGGTGAGGCGGGCTCGTGCGAGCCCAGCAGTGCAAAAGTACATCAAGGAGAAGTTTGAATGCGAGGCTTGTCAATCCCGACCTCTACCTAAACCCAGTCGTCCAGCAACTGTTGTTCGGGGTTATCGTCCAGGTGTCATCGTGGGTGTGGACGTCCTCTTCCTTCCCGACGTGGACCCGAGGCAGCTCAAGCCAGTGCTCAACATAGTTGATTGGGGTTCGGGGTACCAGGCACTTGAGCCCATGCGGGAGAAGACAGCGAGCGAGGCCTTTAGGAAGTTCTGGAAAGCGTGGGGCCGCCACTTTGGCTCACCCGAGGTGATGGTGACCGATGCGGGCACCGAGTTCGGCAAGGAGTTCTGCGAGCTGGCAGCGGGCCGAGGCATAGTCACCAGGCAGATCGGTAGTAGGGCCCCGTGGCAACAGGGAATCACAGAGCGTCAAGGGGGGCTCGCCAAGCTGCTGTTTGAGCGTGTTCGGGACGAGGTTTGTCCGACGAACAAGGAGGAGTGGGCCACAGCGCTTCGGGAAACCGAGGCGGCCAAGAACAGGCTCTACCACCGGAGCGGGTTCACACCAGCACAGCGGCATCTAGGACAAAATCCTCGTATCCCAGGTTGCTTGATGAGCGACGACTTCCTCGATGCAGAGCTTGTCGAGGAAGGTGCGGTTGGTGAGATGAGGCGGGCCCTAGAAATGAGACGCATCGCAGCAGCAGCATTCATCAAGGTCAAGGCGCATGAAGCATGCGCCCGAGCTTCAAGGGCAAGGAGGCGGACCGCCGAGGATTTCAAGGCGGGCGACCTTGTTTACGTGTTCCGGAAGCCTAGAGAACGAAAGCGGAAGGCAGCAGCCCAAAGGGAGATGGCTGAAGGGAAGCAGAGTGGCAAGCCCCAGTGGGTGGGCCCAGGACAGGTGCTTGCAGAAGAAGGACCGAACCTGTGGATTTCGATGAGGGGTGAACTTTGGAAAGCCGCAAAGGAACAAGTTCGGAAAGCAACCTCCCTTGAGAAAGAGGCTCAAGAGCTTTTACAGGGAGAGCTAGCCGAGCTAAAAGAGGAGCTGGCCAAGAGCGAAGTGAGAAACTCATTCAAAGACATCACTAGCGAGCCTTTTCCCGAAGGAGAAGAGGAACCAGATCCAGCGACAAACCGGGGGCAGAAACGTAGAGTTACTTTTGAAGACGAGGAGCCCAGGGTTAGTGCGCCAAGGGAGCGCGCCGAGCCAGCAGCGCCTAGCGGCGAGCCCGAGACGGAAGCAGCGGCGCGCGGAGCACCAGGCGCTGGCTCTTCAGACTCCTCTTCCTCCTCAAGCAGTTCTTCTTCGAGTTCGTCTACGAGCGGCCCACCGAGTACAGCAACCACTCCGAGGACAGCCGCGGTTGGCCGACGTGACTCCCGGCAAAGCGGAAACACTGAGCCAGAACAGGAAGCCAGCACGGGAGTGGAGCAAGCCACTGGGGAAGCACCTGCTGGGTACGGACCCTCGGTCCCTAGAGTTTCGAGGCCGAGCCCGTACGAACCCAGGTCCCGAGAGATCGGCTTTGTCGTCACCGACGAGGGCGGCATCTTTGACGAGGGCACGGCCAAGGACTACTGGGAGTGGGACCCCGAGCGGAGGACTCTCATCCGCTGGCATCAGTTCTCGAGGTTTGGCGTGTTCAAGCCTAGCTCCGGGAAAGGGTGTCCGGTGCCAACCTCACTGTTGAGCGAGGTTAGCACCTCGTACGTCGAGTTCGAGGACGGCACCCAGACCACGGGCAAGACCTTTGAGATCGTGGCGAGGCAGAACCGAGTTCCGCGTCAACGATCTGGTGAATACCGAGGTGCTCCAGTCCTTCATCGTGAAGAAGCGCGGCAGCGACGAGGTGAAGAACATCCCGGCAGAAGATGCAGAACGCTGGCGTGATGCAGACGCAGCCGAGTGGGAGAAAGTAAGAGCCACTGGCGCCATCCGGGAGCTGACGCTCCAGGAATCGGCGCAAGTCCTCGAGGAGCTCCAGGCGACCAACAAGCTGGACAGGGTTCTTCCAACGAGGATGGTGCGTCGGAACAAGCCCGGCGAATTGCCGGGGGAGCCGAGCACCTTGAAGTCTAGGCTTTGCATTCGGGGAGATTGTGACCCAGATGCCTTCAGCCTAGATAGGCACGCGCCAACGGCAAGCTCGCTGACACTGGCAATCGCCATGCAGGTGTGTGCCACCCGTAAGTGGAGAGCCTCGGTCGGTGACTTAAGAAATGCGTTTTGTCAGTCAGAGGCATTGCACCGCAAGGAAGGAAGGCTTTTCGCTCGACAACCTGCAGGCGGACTTCGTGGGCTCGACGAAGGGCAGCTGCTAGAAATAGTGGCGGGAGCCTACGGGCTCGGAGACGCTCCAGCACACTGGAGGCGAAGCCTTAAGAAGGCGCTGCAGCAACTAGGCTACGAGCAGTCAGTGTTGGACCCCACGCTCTTTCTGCTACGCCGCGCTGGGCGAGTCGTCGGCATGGTCATCGTCGAGGTCGACGACTTGTGGACTGCTGGCAATGAGGAGCACTACCAGCAGGTTGACGCCTTGAGACGGAGGTTTACCTTCGGGAAGTTCAAGTACCTGCAGGACGAGGCGGACGGCGTCGGCTTCAACGGCCGCCGCATGAAGCAAGACGCCTCCTGCGGCTTCTCTTACGACCTCCAGAAGTTCATTGACGAGCGCCTCGAGCCCATCGCGATCGAGGGCAAGCTGGGAGAGCAGGCCGCCACGGCAGGCGAAGTTTCTCAGGCGAGAGCAGTGTTGGGCTCTCTGAACTGGTTGGGTCGCGAGGGCAGGCCGGACTTAGCGGGAGAGGTGAGCATCCTCTCCAGTCGGATTCCAGATCTTCGGGTCAAGGATCTGAAAGAGATCAACCGGGTTGTGGCGACGGCCAAGTCCACAGCAGACCTTTCAGTGAAGATTGCCGGCATCGAAGAAGCACGCCTAGGATTTGGAGTAGTGAGCGACGCAAGCTACGCCAACGTCAGAGACGGAGGCTCTCAGGGAGGTCACTGCGTGATAGCCTTTGATACTAGGATTCATGAGGGTGAGACAGTTCAGTGCAACATCTTGTACTGGAAGTCCGGGCGTATCCATCGCGTGGTGAATTCCACTCTTGCTGCTGAAAGCATGAGTTTGTCTCGCGCCTTAGGAGACCTCATGTGGTGCGTCACTCTGTTCAATGAGTTGACTCATGTCGGGTTTGAACTCAGAGAGTGGGAAGCTGCTCTAAGGCATCGTCGGCTGTGTGTCATTCCGGGGAAAGGAGAGGGAGCTCGTAACCTGGCTGTGGTAGACGCGAAATCCTTGTACGATCACCTAGCTCGAGAAACCTGTGGACACACCGCTGACCGCCGCACTGCGATTGAGATGCAGATCATCCGCCAGACTCTCAGCGAACTTAGTGCTTCTATCCGTTGGATCGATCACAACCGCATGCTTGTAGACGTGCTAACCAAGATGGGTGGGAATGCAGAACCGCTCCACCGAGTTTTGTCATCAGGGCAATGGGGCATTGTGGCGGAGGCCCAGGAAATAGAGCTTCGAAAGAAGCAACGTACAGAGGGCATCACCATCCGTCGTAAGAAGTCTGGGATCAAAGAAAGTCTTGGGAGCTGTGAACACACTTGTGCTAGAACCTAGCAGTTGATCCCAGACAAGCTCGTTGTCCTGTGCAGAGCGACTGGCCCAAGACACGGAGGCCCCTAGAGCGCAGTACGTGCTGCAAGGAAAAGGCGCGATCAGCTTAGCATTGCCATAGAGCCTTCGACTTTTGCCTTGTGCTCCCGAGAGCTGCCACTGTCTTTTGACAAAAGTGTGTTTAGGGAAATGAAATGGGGGCACCGCTTGGGCAACAGCGCCGCCGGACAGACGGCCCTGGGGCCCGGAGTCCCTCGGAAGAATCGAAAGCGTCGGCTTTAAAGCAGTAGCTGAGTTGCTTTTGAGGCCCCAGCCCCCGCACCGCCTCAAGCGAGGGAGTGGCCCTGTAATGGGGGTTGCAACATGACGGCAGAACTCAGCCATAGCGGAGCCACGTGCTATTCCAGTACGGAAGCTGCGACTGGATCTTCCTGGTTGCCTTCGAGTTGAAAGGAGGTAACCTCAGTTCGCAGAGGACGTTAAGCGTGGTTGTAGTGTTAGGCAAACACGTTCGCAAAGAGAAAAGATTACCGGCTTAGTTGCTGAAGTCCTGCAAGCGACACGTTCAGAAGCACCTTCGCCACTTGACTTGGAGCTGCAAAGCCCCAGAGTCAATGATGCGTCGAAAGCAATCCCACGAAGTAGTCAAGGTCGCCCGAAATGTGTGTCCAAGGATTTCTCACATCGTCCTAAGGCCCAGGTCGTCCGAAGCCAGTCATACGACCGACCGACCTCAGCAGCGTCCTACTCGCATGTACTTCACAATTTCCCTTTCGTCGGTGGCAGAACATGTTGGCCCCGCGTTGCCAGTGGTACTCCGGCTCCGTTTGCATGGTGCCTGCATTTGGAGGGCCGGGTACGTAAGACAACCGGATGTTCGAAATGCTTGCGGTGGGTTCCCTGCAAGAAGACATGGAGCTGCTGGACACAGACGCATTTGCGGGATGTTGCAGGGGTGGCAACATGGGAAGCCCCGCCGTTGGCTGGAGGAGGTCTCGAGCTTAAGCACAGGAGCCACATGTTCAACGCAGAAGCCAGTGCAGTCAACATCCGAATCTCAATGTCAAATGATGTTCCAACAGCCTTTGTCCCTGCCTTCTCGTTTGGCAGAGCTCCGTCTGTCACAACTCTCAAACAAATCAACATGCAGAGCCAAGAACGAAAACCTAAGGCAAGTCCCGGCCTCAGGGGGCAAGTGACAATAGGGCCGGGAGGAGTGGCGGTCGTTCCCTGCTCCGCGACGGAGACGGAAAAGAAGAAGAGGGCTCATTCAATCGTGTGAATCCGTGTTGGATTTGGTGAGCACACAAGCGGCGGTTTCCTGCGGCCTTTTGTTCGCCTTGCTTTTTTCATGACAAACAACCGAACATGCGGATGTACAGGGGTATGAGTCATATGAGATATGGATTCATGGACCCTTCCTTAAACATCCATAAACCCCATAGTGGAAGCAGCTCAACGATTGTCAGAAACAAGGGGCTGAGAGCACCGGACGGTGCAGGTGCAAGGCAGTGCAAGACATGTTTGACTTTCCCAGTTTGACTAGGGGTTTTGGAATGTTTTGGAGGCTTATGGCATGCACGGCGTGCATGGCGTTCCTGGCCTTGCGGGTCTCGGCCACTTTCCTGGCACAGCCTGGCCTCCACGGAGCCTCGCCGCTTGACAAATTGATGGAAGTTGGTGGGTCGCTGGGACCTGGGCACTGATAGCCTGGACAGATCTGGACGGATACAGAGGACATTTCAAATACAGAGGCTTTCTTCTTTAGCACCTGCCAGCCAACCCGGTTTGTCCTCTGTATTGTTCAGACTTCACTTGCAGGCCCAGTTTGACTTCGCATGTGCAACTGAGGCAGTTCAGCCTGATGCAGGGAGCTTAGTTTTCCAAGCCGCTCAGATTTCCTGCTCCACATGGTCCGGTGGCTTCTCGCACTTGACCATTTTGGCTGGAAGGGCACCGAAGGCTTTGTTGTACTGTTGGGGACTGAAAGGGTGGACGGTTGCCGTGTTGCTCTCAGCAGGACTTTGGAAAGCCCTGGCGGCTCGGAAGAGCTCGAAATCACTTCGGATTTTTAAGTTTCTCCGTCTCGGCCAATTTGTAGCAGTCCTGACACCGTACTGTGCATGTGCAAGCAGATTCTTGCTCTGCTGAGGACGATGGCCGTCTGAGCAACCGTGCTCGTACCTTCAACGGCAGCCGGGCACATGGACAATTCTCGACGTGTCCTGGGAAACATAGAAAACCAGCATTCATTTATATTCATTTGCCAATGTCTGTGGCGTAAATTCGTGCCGGGTTGCGGGTCTGCCGCGATGCTGAGGCCTTCCGGGCGATCGTTGCGGAAGCTCCCCTGTGCAGACGCCGGCCGGCACTTTCATTGCGGGCACACTCAGATTCTCCGCATGCTTCCCTTTTTTGCACCCATTCCTGGACCCCTGGAAGCCTCGGCAAGCTGTTTAAATCTGGTTCTCTCAACCAAAACTTGTCGGCACCTATACTACCTGGGACAACACATGCCACAGTCTTCTTTAACTCTACATTGGCGTGTCGCAAATCAAGCACAGATCAGGCGACACCTACCTGGAGTGAGTCCGGCGAGCACGGTGCCCAACCATTTGTTGACTTGTGCTGTTGCCGTACATAGTGACATAGTGTCAAGCTGGAAGTTCGAATCGTCGTTTCAACCAATCGAAGGGTCCGCTCTGGGGAGCACTCCATCTTGTGTCTTTCCCGATGCCCAGATTGACTTTGGCGTGGCCCGTTGTCCGGACACATCGATCTGCTTTGGGGCAAGTCAGCAGCCATGTTACAAGGAGTGGTTCAGTACTGTAATGCATCGGACAGTTACAGCTGAGTTCTTGGTCGCTCAAGCCTGTTCGTGGAACCTGCCGTTGCCGGACCATGTGAGTCTAGTGAGACGGCGCAGCCCAAAGCCCCAAATGCTGGGAAACGCAACAGCATAAAGGGATGCTCCTGTTTCAGCCCCAACTACCTGCAAAACGTGCCAATCCATGAGTCGAGATCCAGATACCAGCCAAGAAAGAACCATGACAGCACATCTCTAGATCGCTCGGTGCGCTGAGGTGCTTGGACAGAAGTTCAACGTAAATTGCTTCAGCCATATTTATCACATGTTCCAGTCAACCTTGTCTTGTCTTGATCGGTCGTGGCACTCTAATGTACGAACCCTATAACATCCCATAACTGGAATTATGCGGTCCTCGAATCAGCGCCAGAGCGCGGAGGTTTGCAACCCGCCGCGACGATCCATGCAGCCCGCTCTACATCCAGGCAGTTTCAATACCCCAGCCTTCGCGGGAAAGCGGCGTTTTGATTGCAGGCAACTCCGCAGCGATGGGCGAGCGAACACTGCCAGGCTCGGGAATCTTCTGCTCAGCTGCTTGATCATATTGCGAATGAGCACGTAGTGGCCCGGCCACTCTGGAGGCTCTCCTCTTGGGCTTTGCTTCTCAAAAACTCACTTGCAGAATGCCGTCCTACAGCTCCATGTCGAAAAGGACATTGGCATCAACTGAACTTGGCTCTTTGCGATCACGATTGTGAGTCATGAGGGTGTATGCACTTGCTGCACCACCGCATGAATCCCTAGATATCTTAGATAAGTAACCTTTAGGCAAAATGGATTAGTCTGCCTGTTAACCTGGCCTATCTGTCTGCCAAACCCTTTTGAACTGTGTGCCTGGTCATTGTGTCTCGGTATATCTATGTGTTTGAGTCCCTCTTTCTTTCGCTTTTCGGCATCTCAGCTACAAGCATGCCAGACCCTGTTGTGCCAGGAAATGTCGCAGGCATCAACTGGGCTCCCGAGCACGCAAGCGTACCGCGGTCACTTGGACTTGAAGTCGCAGACTTCGTGAACAGAAGGACAGCGTGAATTTGCGGTGAACTCATTCTGAGACTTGTAGGAGAGGTGCAATCCAGGCTCGACAGCCTGGATTGCGCCCACCGAAGCAGAGACCATGAAATGTGAGCACTTTAAGGTGGCACCTCTAGACTCGCATACTTCCCATGCAAGATCCACAACGCTTGCGTCAGAGGAACCCTGACAATTGTGTAGGCGACATACAGATTCTCAACCGTCAAGATGGTCCTTGCAGACAGCGAAATTGAATCATACCCGGCTTCTGGGGCCAAAACAAAAGGCGCCACCGCCTCGTGTGTGTTGATAAGGTTTGTGCGTTGCACTTTACTTTCCTGAGGCTTTGCTGGCTTGCTCGCGCGTTCCGTGCGGGTCCAAGCAGTGTCACCTTGACGTATGAAGTCGTATGAAGCGAGTGGTTTTGCATCGGAACGTCTTGTGGGGATTTTGGGGCCAGGCCATACTCAAGCCTGTCAATAGGCCATGAGCCATTCAAGCGAGTTTGTCAGCGGAACCGTGACTACTGCGGACTCACCCTCGCGAGTTCCTGGAAATCTTCCACCCGATGCTGACAAGTGAAATTGGACCACTTATGATGGACTGTCCGTAGGTACCAGGTAGACCTCAAGTATGAAACGAATTCAATCTTCCCTTCCCCGTCATGACTAAGGATCCGCAGTCGTTCTACCCTGAATAGTGCCGATGCGCCTTGTTTGGCGAGGGTGCAGCTCCCAGTCGAGAAGGCTAAATGATGCTAAAGGTGGTTGGTGGAGTACGCGAAATCCACAGATCTCGTCGCTGTGTGTGTATCGCGTGGCTGGAGCGGAGGCAGCATGACTTCCGCAGACTGTATTTGCACCGCAAGTTTCACAAATCATGACCATCAGCAGAGAGCTCGAACAGATTTCCCGGTGCCCAAAATCCCACGGATACCATGGCAATGTATGAGCGACGGCTTTTGTTTACATTAATATTACACTATTTTGAAACGAGATACCTCCGCGCGGTATTTTATTTGTCAGAACTTGCACGAATAAAACGAGATTACATATATATGTGATACGATGCAGTCTCATCTGAAATCGAATGAATCGTAGTATTCGACCAATTACTATAAGAGAAA